CTTCGCTGCATTCGATGGTTTCAGTATCTGATATGATTTGAACTGGGTCGTTGAGTTCACTGCTATTGAATGTGAGTGGCGGTATAAAGTCGGTATAGACGTTGAGTCTCCATCCACCAGGAGTTCTGTATCTATCATCATAATTTCCTTCTTGTTCACCGTCTTCCGCTGACATTTCTATCTAAGATGAAATATTTAAAGGTTAAAGCTATTCGACATGTTCCTAATAAATTGATAATACAAATTGTAAATCTAGAAATTATCACTGCTATCAACTTAGTAAAGCAATTTCAGTTGTCCCCTAGTCTATGGCTACAATTTTACCGGGAAAGCAACTCTTCAAGTCGGAAGTTTTAAAACTTAATTTGAGGGACCACATGCAAAACTGGTATATCTGTTTTTGATAGTTTTGAGATAAATGCATTTTACTGATTTAAAGATTCTATATCATGTGTAAAAAACACTTCTAAAAAATGGTATATCTGTCTATATACCATTTTTAAAACTAGAATTGTACCAAAACTGGTATATCTCACGATATACCATTTTTTCTATACTATAAACAATAAAATAATTTAACTGAGAATGGTATATCTGAAGATATACCATTTGGGCTGGCTAAAGTCTATAAAATGTGTATAGATATACCGGTTTTATAGAAGATAAGTTTCTTGAAGGTGGTCTATCTGCAGATATACCATTTTGTTTTCATGATTGTTAAAAGCTAAAATGGTATATTGTAACATATACCAGTTTTGGAAAAATAAAATTTCACTTTTTTCAAAAATTTCTTCAAAATTGTTCAAAAAAAGTTCCAAAGATGCACCTTTTCACCCTGAAGACTATGAGCTACCTGCGCAAAATTGGTATATGTTCAGATATACCAGTTTTGCATGTGGTCCCTCATTTGGAGAAATAAATTATACTTCTGAAAATAGAGTTTAGGCATCAGCTAATAAAATAATGGCGAAATCTAGTGACTAAAATTAGAAATAACAGTTTTGACGTTTGCGTTGATGAAAATAAAATAAATTATGCCTGACGTATAGTTTGGTTTACTCATGATGCTATGTCAACTGTCGAGGCAGTCAAATCATTTCTTTCAGCATCACAGCTTATGCTTGAGTATGATGATATTTCACTCTGACAATATTTCACTGTCAATCATCTACTGATCATGACACTAATGACTGAACACTGACAGTTAAATAAATTAATCACAATGCTGGCAAGCATTACCGTTGCCATTATATTCACAATACTATTTATCCCCTATACTATTAAACCCCTTTATTGTTTTTCAGGCATTAAGACTAAAGTAGTTCAGCAGGTATATTTAAGTTCAAAACATTCTAAATTAATGTTAAAGATGACAGGAATAAAAAATAGTTATGTGGAGGTTTTTAAGAAATTTGCGCAAAATACGAAATTAGGTAAAAAACCCAAAATCGCCATATTCAGGTGCCTTAAAAACCACGTTAAAAATGAGTTAGCTTTATTACAATTCGTAAGCCGTGAATGAATGGGAAAAGCGAGCGACCGATTTCATTCTCGGTATCAATTTGCATTTGCGGACGGTTCCTCAAATTAATATCATTTCCTTTTGTTTGGAAAAGAGAGACAGTAGACACTGGCAGCGGTTCACTCTACCCATGATTATGGGTTTTGGTCAAATATATATACATACCTTATCGGACCTTATTTGGACAGACATTACTTGAACGCTGGAGGCCCTAGCGTTCATCTTAATGTCCGTTCAAATAAAGTCCGTTCAATTAATGTCCGTCCAAGTTAAAGTCCGTTGAAATTATTCCATTTCTAACTTTTTGTCCAGAATATGACAACTTTGAGAACTTTATTGTGCCGTAAGTTAACGACGGAAAGGTTCTCCATGGTCTGCCAGAGGCGCAGAAAACTCTACTAGTATATGATGTTTTCAAGGGTCAGTGGTCACTTGGCGGAAAAAAGTCAACGAAATTATGGCACTCAACAACATAGTTCATGAACTAGTCCCCGCCAACATGACAAACTAGTTCCAGCCTCTAGATAATAGATATTACGGTAAATCGTGTTGCCAAGGACATTTTCCGACGTTGTTATAGTTCATATCACTCGGGAGCGGTAATGAAACAGTGCTAGGAAAGCTCCACGTGATGTTAAGGTTAACCTTAAGTTGTCTAAGATAAATACCACTTCACGCCGAATGACTTGTAAAAGTTAACACTGAAATGCAGGACCGGGCTAGTTTGATAAAAAAGGTTTCCATAAAGCTAGAAATCACTGATGCTTTAAGCATGGACTATTTCATGCACGAAAACCCATTTGATGAAGATGATATGTGATATTAGACACTGATCATGTACACATATTTTAACATTTTTACTGCTTAATGACTGCTTTTCTTACTTACTGTATAAAAAATGGAGTGTAGGGGGGGGGGGGGGGGGGGGTGGGGGTAAATAGTAAAGGGGGTAAATAGAATTGTGAATATTTAAGAGGCACGGTCATGCTTGCCAGCATATTATGATGTTGTATTTTGTTTTTCGTTTCGTTTTCGCCATTGCAACTTTACCAGTACTACGGAAATTAGAAGATCACGAAAAAGTGGCACAAGTATGGTTAGCAGATGACGCCACAGGAGTGGGTACTCTTCACGCACTTTTAGGCTGGTGGAAAGATATCATTGAAGAAGGACTTAAGTATGGCTACTTCGTGAACCAGGAGAAATCTTGCTTAATCCTGAAAAATCCTGAACATTTACATTCAGCTCAGGAAATATTTTCCGAATGCAATATAGATATCAGAATAGATGGTCAAAGACATTTAGGAGCTGTGCTGGGGACTCCTGAATTCAAGGATACCTACATTAACAACCTTGTAGTTGAGTGGAGTGATATGCTAAAAAAGTTAGTACAGTTTGCCAAATCACAGCCTCAGGCAGCCTACGCTTGTTTTACGCATGGTGTCCGCCACAGATTTACATATTTTATGAGGACACTAGATATCAGCTCTTATATGGGCCCTCTTGACAAAATAATCACTCATGAGCTTATTCCAACTATATTTGGTTGTCCAGTATCTCCTATACACCGAGAGCTTATGTCATTACCATTAAAGAACGGAGGTATGGGAATGCCACAGTTGGAGTATCTAGCGAAAAGAGAACATGCTGCATCGCTTTTGGTAACCCGGGGACTGGTAAATTCCATGAAATCTCTTGCTGCAACTGACACGGAATCGACAGAAGAGCTCCAAGACATGTTAAAACAGCGTGTTTTGGAATATAAAGAACAACAAGAGGAGATACTTAAAAAGGTTGATAAGAAGACTGCAAGGGTTTTGGAGCAGATTAGCGAACCAGGGAGCTCAAATTGGCTCTCATGTTTACCACTTAGAAAACATGGTTTCGTTCTAAATAAATCTGAATTCAGGGATTCTATCAGATTGCGGTACAACTTAGATCTGGATCGTTTGCCATCACAATGTCCATGCGGAAAAAAGTTTGATGTGAACCATTCGCTAAATTGCCATCTTGGTGGCTACATCATTATCAGACACAATGAAATTAGGGATTTTTTAGCTGGCTTGCTGAACACTGTTTGCTCGGACGTGGAAGTTGAACCTCAGCTTCAAGAACTAGAAGGAGAGCAGTTCAATAGGTCCTCAACACTAACGGGTGACCAGGCAAGACCCGATATTAGAGCTCGTGGTTTCTATAGGCCGGGCCAAGTGGCTTTTTTCGATGTTAAGGTAATTAATCCTAATTCTAATTCCTACCTTCAACATTCGACAAAGAAGACAATGGAGAACGCCGAGAGACAGAAAACACGATGCTACAACGAGAGAATACTTAATGTAGAGCACGGGTCATTCGCTCCATTAATATATTCAGTAACGGGTGGCATGGGACCTCAAGCCAGGACATTTGAGAAACTGCTTTGCAACAAACTTGCTTATAAGAAGAAGCAGAATTACAACGATATTATAAATTATTATCGGTGTAAATTATCATTTTTAATTAGGAAATTAATTTTATTGTGTATTAGAGGATCAAGAAATACCTCAAACACAACTTACGAATTATCTAACATGGATGATTTAGAATTTAACTCTTTCGAATCGAAAGTCAACTAATTTTTTCAGTCCCATGGACTGGGTTTTATTTTTGCAATGATGATTTTCATAATATATAACCTGTAATACTATTCTGTATATATCTAATTTCGTTTTCCAAAAAGATTTTTTAAAAAATAAAAAAAATTAAAAAAAATTTAGTAATAGTAAGTTATTTTAGCTAACACTAGCTAACACTGATGATTGCGCTCGGTATTTATTGCACGAAACTTAAAGTTTGTTGAATCGCCGTTTTATTTGTACAAAGCTCCCCTCCCGGGTAGAACTCTTGAAACTGAATTTCTCCAAATAAACATCATAATTTTAATGTTATATATGACTGGTGTTACCAGATTTCAGGTCTACGAAACTAATAAATACGAACAACAGATATCGGTTAATAATATAAATTCTAACATTTAAAATTAAAATTGTATCGAAGTGCTAATACACATCCAGTTAAAAGCAGATAATATTAGTATTATATTGATATCATACCCATAAGATTAATGGGGGTATAACGTAACTGATAACTCAAAGTTTTTTATTTAACACAGATATCATACTTGGGCCCAGAGTTCGCATTAAAAATTGGAGCAAAGAATACATGCAGTCAAGATACGTTCCAGTAAAACGTGCTTGGTTTTTAATTGAATTGATTGTACATTCTTCTAGGTTTTTGTTTGTCATGAGTGTTTCTTCATTTTTAAATCTGTTTGAAATATGAATTCAAAAATTCTTCGTCTCCTCGTTTTAAATGACCTGACATCCGCATCAGATAAAACATGGAACAATTTAGAAATTGCTACACGTTGTATACCTCTCGTGCACGCCGGCTTCGCGCGCGATCAAAATGGGTTACAGCGTGTGTCAATTGAGAACCACTCGAATTAAAGAGTTAGAAGTATCTCACGCCTTGTAAGGACGCAGGATTCCGTTGTATACAGCGACCGCGGTAGCCGTCCCCAAAAACGGAAGAAGTCCGAAGGCCTGAGAGGTAGAGTGTTGTTATGTGGTGTCGTAGTAATCAATAGAAGATAAAATATGATGGATTCCTGAAACATAAAGTATAGATTCAATGAGCAAAGAGCTACACTACCGGGCCCAAAATATGGAAACGAATTGAATGATTTATGGAAGTGTATTTTTACCCATAGATGGTGAGTCCAAGCTCCGCAGACTATGTACCAGCAAATCACTATTGGATTAAGACCAGTCACGACATAGGGTCCCTGATGGGAGGTAAAGTTTGATATTGTAAACAATCAAGGTTTCTGCTAAGCTTTATTCAAATCGGTCTGCGGAATTCTTGTTACTGCATATCATACAGCATGGAAATTTGAAGCCTAGATTAACCTTAAGTTATGTATTTTTTTAAAGTCCAGCCTATTTTCTTGAGTACATTGTATATACTGATCAGAGCGAGTTAAGTGTATTTACCATGAAGAGAAGAGCAATGTGAATACTCATTCCGATAGCGAAGGGTTGCAGGAAACAATCGGCATGACCTCTTCTAGCGTCAATTGCTGCCAGAGTGACCAGTATCATCATCCAGCTTCCAGCCACCATGAACACTATTACCTGCAATGTGGAGTTCCCATGGTAACACTATCACCTGCGCCAATTAAAAAAGATCGTCTGATTTCCATGATCCAGATTTCAGTTAGTCTATTGCACAACAATAATCACGGTGATAAAGAGTACTCACTCTGATCACATTAAAATCTTCGAATGTTGGAGGTGCGAAATCTGGAAGACCCTCAAAATCACCAATTCCCCACAGCAAACCTGAAATCAAGCAGTGGTTGCACATACCATGGCATCTCAAGTCTTCTAATATGATTTAATAATAAAATAAATTGCCTCATTAAAGTATGCCCAAACAGCAGAGTTTCATACCTGCTGCAGTGAAACCACCGCAGAACTGCACGAAAATGTAACAAATCATCCTGACGAAGGAGATCTGAGTATCCAGGAAGAACATGAGAGTGATGGAGGGGTTCACATGACCTCCTGACACGTCCTCACATAGGTAGATCATTAAACACACAGCTGCAGGGGAGGGGGTACCAGTTATTATCATAGTATCATCATAATCCTTAATATTGACGACAATAAGTAGTCTGTAGCAATGGAAGAAAGATTTTTAAACATGACCAATGACTATTTTGACACAATTAGAACTACCATGAATTACCGAGCGTCTGTCTTAAGAATATTTGTTACATTTACTTACTCATCCCAACTCCGAAGGATGTGGAAAAGTTAAAGAGATCTGTGGTTCCGCTGTCATCTAATCTCGCTATGATCCTGGGGTTTATTCCACCTGAAGGGTGATACCGTAAGTTAATTATAAAATAGTTATTATAATTTGGAAGTATTTATAAACTCTAGCTACATCACGGTCCAAGGCTTCATTTGAAACATGAAGTCTAGAAGTAGATATAGAATTAGAACAACAGTGGTTCATGGTTGCACTGAAGGTGTCAATGATGCTATGGTTTCGATTTATAAATATAATTCAGCAGTAACATACGTTAATGTGGCTCTTTCTATGTGTTGGTTCAGCCGAATTAATTATTATGTAATCAAGTTTATCTTTCTCTTTTAGTTAGTTGTCATCCGGCCAAACATTAAGCAACTTATATTGCAGTACCATTTATCAATTAGTTTTTCAAAATATGTCAGTGTAATTTTGCATGGCTGAAATGTAACGCTTGATTTATATATATAATAATTAATTGAATTTTCAAATAAAAAAAAATAGCACCTGTAGCGAAAAGTACGAGCATGAAGAGGCATTCTAGAACGAAAATCTGAATGACTCCGCAACCCAGGAATCAACTATTCAGTTATTATCGCTCAATAATCGGTTTGGTATCGACGTTACATACTTTATTATTTTTTTTAAAAAGCTGATTATAGAAACCAGGGAATTTAAGTTACCCTCCTAAGGCTAACATTAAATTGCTGATTTTATTTATATATATCACTTTTTTTGTTCTTTCTTTTCCTTCAAAACATTCCAGTACATTGTGCAGAAAGTTGGAGATGAAGCCGTAGTACGTACATGTAGCATTGCACTGGATCGAACTTGCAGAGTGTGGTTTCCTCCAGTCTGCGCCGCGCGCTTATAATTATATAAACATATGCGGCGCAGATCGACTGGAGGAGATTGCACTGTGTAGGCTCCGGTGTAATGTGATATGTATGTACTACGGCTTTACAAATTTTGGAAGCATGTAGGGATATATATCTGATACCAATCGTATATACTAAAAATACTCTAGCACAATTGTAACTGCAGTTTTACAGAACTCTAAATGCTTAATGAACACTCTTGCAGGTACCACCTGTATTCACACTCAGACCTGAGTTTAGTCATTTTCCGATACGAGATTGGGGACGGGTTCTATAAACAAACAAACAAACAAACATATATATAATAATTAATTTAATTTTCAAACAAAAAAAATAGCACCTGTAGCGAAAAGTACGAGCATGAAGATTCCAAGAAATTCAGCAAACAGCGCTCTGAGTCCTGCCTCATTTGTGAACTCCTTAAAACTGCCAAGTTTCCATTCTCTTTTAGGGAGCTCCTGAAAGAGAAGAAAAATTCAACAAGTGCAAGTTGCGGTTTCTTATGTGCGCCACCTCCAAATTTCCTTACCCATAATGGTATTTACTGGAACTCGGTTAACCTGTCATTCCGCCATATCTCCATCCTGAACACTAAGCTTGGGGTCCCAAGTCTCCAGGTAAAATAGGTCACGAGTTAGGAGTGAAATCTGGTTAAAGTGGTTGATATTGTATCTAAAAAAGGAAGTGGTTCAGATGGACACCACGTGACAATGAGACACAAATCTCTCCGGGATTATTATTAAAAAACATAAAGTATGCGTCTATAATAGTTGACTAATTATTTGAATCTGCAGTATATATCAGTAGTCAGATCGAGCTGCGGATCAGTTTTAATGATAAAAAAGAAGACGCGAACCTCATTATTCGGGAGAGCACCATTACAAATGGTCTGACCAACATTTTCTTGAACTGACATAGTTAGTGGATTCTCTAAGATCATTACAAAGTCATCACAGAAGCTGATAAAGTTAATTCTAAACGACACTCAAATGTACTGCAATGCTAGTGTACTTACTATTGGTGCTGTTAAAGAGACTGGTCATTAGGGGGCAATTTAACTTTTATTACATTATTTTTGTTAGATTATCGACAAGTCACGAGTTTTAACTGTTCAGATTTCTGGCTGACTGGCTGAAACATTAGGCTCATTAAACCTAAGTCTTGACTTTGCGGATCTAAGTATTGACGACACTGGATAACAGCGGCTCATGATCAAATCATACGTATTCAATTTCATAAAGAGAGTACTTAGTACCGCTACCGGACAACTGAACCCAATTAAGACATTTAGATTCTGATTAACCCTAACTCTAACCCTAACCCTGACCCTGACCCTAACCCTAACCCTAACCAATTAAGCTGATTGGTAAGTGGGGATTATGTTCAATTGGGTTCAGTTGTCGGCCACCCCTCACTCTCAAAACTATATACTCGGATTTAGTCTGCGGTGTTTCCACTCTTTCGGTGGATTACTTGCTGTATAACATGCCCTGAACCAAAACTTTCGGTCTATTTTGACACAAAGTAATTCGTTATTAACTTTAAGGCGCCTGGAGAAAATATGCTCTTGCTGGTTGTGCCCATCAGATCTACCTTTACAAGTAACTCTTTCATGCAGGGTGGTTCATGAGACTATTGACAAAATATTCCTGCACAGAAATGCTTTTGACAAATTAATTCCCAGAAAATATTCGTAATGATAAAGCCCTAAGACGTAGAACCCTGATTTGACATTTCTGTTATTTTCGGATTATGCAAGAAATGTGTTTTAAATCGATCAGTTATCAATCTTAAAGTTGTTAAATTGGATAAGCAACGAAACGGCATCAAGTAGGTGATATGTTCGTAAATAAAATTACATCTCTAGCCTACAAAAAAAGAAAAATGGTTAGAAACAACAGTAATTCTTACAAATGATAGAAAATTTAACATTATTATAAATATCACAAGCAGAGCAACCTAAGAGAAAAGGTCGAAGGCGGAAGACAAACAAAAGAGGGCAATGTAAGAGCTGCAGACGTAGTATCTAGACCTACCCGGGTCGACTAGGAAGAAAAATAATATTAATAAAAGCAAATTATTTAGTAACTACAATTTTATTTAAAAATTTTGGTACGGAATGTAAATATGAACTTTTCCTCTTCTCTATCTAAATCTAAGAGGGCCATTTTCCTCACAATCCATAATTTAAAAATCCTAATATTAAAGTCATTTTTATGTTTTAAAAAACAGTGCATAGAAAGGGCCGATTGCTCAAATTTAGGTCTCTCATTAATGATAAATTTGTCCCTATGGCCATTCATCCGTATGTGCATGGGTGTAACTGTCTGGCCAAAGTATAAGTCCACTTTAAGGAGATATTTCTTGTAGGTTTATAACCAACCAAGACGCGCGCCGAGTAGGATTCGTCGACGGTCTAATATTTGAAACAAATATTTTACGAGCATCACCCGTTAAGATATTTCAAGTTTTGGAAAATTGATATATCTCGATTCGCGATGGTCAGAACAATTAAAACTCTCATTCGTCTGCCATGTGTGATAATTTGACCGGCCATATATAATAATTTGACCGGTCGTTTTGCACAATTAAATTAAATTGCTCCCTCAATGAGCTCCTTTTTGCCAATATTAATCAGAAAACTCTAGCCGAAAAGGGGTTTATTCTCGAAAGTGGCAATTAGTAGACTTACAGGAAGGAAACATGGTACCTGGAGAACCCTAGACAACTACAAGAACAATACATCTAAGTAGTAGAGGAATAAAGGAAATATAAACAATGTTGTAAGAAATCACAAGAAAGTTGAATCGTTGAACATTCTGTAACTACTGCCACAGGGTGGGCCATAAGTCAGTACCTCTACGTTGGGTCTTATACCTCCGCCGTGTTTTATATTTGAGAGTTGTTGCTTTGCAGATGGCATACTGTGTCTGTACCTACTACATACTATGTCAGAACTAAGTCCGATCTACGCCAGATAATTTCCTCCATATATCCCTGTCCTGCATCAGGGTTCGCAGTTCCTTTTTAGATTTTGTCCCAACTTCCTTCAGTAACATAGACATTAGACAAGTAGCTTTGTCTTGGTCGGCCTTGCTGTGCTCTACCGTGCGTAGGTTCCCATAAGACTAAGTCACCGGCAAGAAGGTCAGAATGTTGGATGCAGTGTTCCGCCATTTTTAATCTCCCGCTTCGTAACTTGTTTGACAGCCTTGGTAGGCTACCATACAATTTATTTAAAGAACACTCTTGCACATTATTTATTTATTTATTTATATCATATTGATGTATAGTCAAGACGTGAGTGTTAGGGCTCTCATTGACAAATTTATGTTTAATCCTGTTTAATCCTGTTTAATCCTGTTTAATCCTGTTTATACAAAGTTATATTGCTGACCTTGTCCTTCCATGAGATACCCAGCACCATACGCAGCATCTTTGTGTATGCCCCGTCCAAACGTTTCTCTTGAGCCTTTGTCAGTGTCCAGGTTTCTGATCCGTAGAGCAGTACTGATTCACAAGCCGTTATGAACAATCATATTTTTAGGCTCTTTGCGGGTTTGGATTTCCAGATATTCTTCAGTCTATATAGGGCACCCCACGCTTTTCCCTTTCTAACCCTTATCTCTCTATCTGTGCTCTCAATCTAGGAGCCTTAATAGATGAAATCATCCACATTTTCTATGGGATCCCCGGCTCGACTTTGTAGGTCGCTAGATCGATTCTCCATATTCAGTGTCATGACCTTGGTCTTGCCTTCGTTTAACTTTATGTGTAGTCCCACGCTTGCTGCCGCCGATTCTACTCTGAGCAGGAACTCGTTAGCCTTGTCCATGTCCTCAGATATAAGTGTTATATAATCTGCAAAGTCCACATCGATGATCTTGGGCCCCACTCTTCTGCTTTTTCTTTCGAGAGTGAGTCCAAGTTGCTCCGCATCATCACCTATGGCTTGCCTCATATATAAAGTAGTCGATAACTATTGCAAAGAGGTAAGGTGCTAAGGTATCACCCTGTAACACACCTGCGAGTATCTCGAACAATTCCGTTTCTCCGTCTGGAGTTAGGACTTTGGCCATTGTCTTCTCGTACATGAGCCGTATAAGCTGTACGATTTTGACTGGAATTCCGTAAGCTTCTAGAATCTTGAACATTTTCCCACGATGTACACTGTCGAAAGCCTTCTTAAAGTCTATAAATGTCAGAACAGCTGGCAGCAACTAGGGATGACAAGCTTATTCCCCGATAGTTCATTAGTTCGTTAAGGTCGCCCTTCTTTGGAATTGGTATAATGTTGGCAGTTGACCATTAGTCTGGTTTCTCACCTTTCAATAGAGCATTGTTACAGAAGTCTAAGACAGTCTAAGTCCTGGAAATTAATGAAATTTCTGATTGATATCCGGCCAAACACCTTTGAAACTAGTTACTATAGTCGGATATCCGATCAATTTCTAAATTTTATCACTATCAGAGTAAAATTGAGTGGAATTTGAATTAAAATTATGTCAAATTGTTATTATTCTATGAAAAAAGGAAATTTTGATTTCGTAATCAACAAGTAACACTAACAACCAACCCCTGATGTGTTCTTATCAAGATTCGAACACGATATCCTAGTTTAAACAATGATTACACGGGATTTAAGGCTTCTGTCGATGACGAGACCAGGGCCAGGGTAGCAGTCAACTTTTGCGGGCTTTAAAAATTTTTAGACGTTTCATTTCTTTTATTGAAATCTTTCAATTATTATCATCAGAATTTATTACAATATCAATGTTGTATAGAATTTCTAAAAATGGACTAGAGAAACCAAGAAATGCCTTGACAAGTGTACAGCGATGATAACGTATACAGTATACTTATTAAAATATCTAATTTTTATATTTTCAACTTCACCACCAGTTGCCACATTACCAATTACATAAATATAATTAATGCATGCAATTTTGAGAAACGAAAGATTTGAATTAATTGTATAATCGAAGTAAATTACCATTTTGATATCATCAATTTTGATTATGTTGAATATCACTGACGTAATAACGTCGAATTAATGTCAAAATAAAGTTTTACAGTTAGTGTGGAAAATTACAACAACCTTCACAACGAACAGAAACTATTTATGATTTAGTATTACGATCAGTGATCTGGGACTTTGAGCGAGTCGGGATATCAATATCTGATATCGGTGACGTGCCATTCGTGAGGGTATATCAAATTCAATACTCGCACTGCGCTCAATTAAGTGCGCTGTAAGGGAATATTACAGCTCACATGAGTTTGTTCAGAAGATTGATCTGTCCGTGGCTGATGACAAGCTTAATATCGAGACGGCGCGATACCTAAACTGGAATGCACAGCACATAGAAGTAATATAATAGCCTGGGGTCCCCAGGTAGTGGCATGCTAAATAAAATTAAAAATAACAATGAAATCGGTCGCTCGCTTTTCCCATTTATTCACGGCTTACGAATTGTTATAAAGCTTATTGAATGGGAAAAGCGAGCGACCGATTTCATTCTCGATATCAATTTGCATTTGCGGACGGTTCAAATTAATATCATTTCCTTTTGTTTGGAAAAGAGAGACACTGGCAGCGGTCCACTCTACCCATGATTATGAGTTTTGGTCAAATGTAGTGACAGTGGTGCTGGAACATTCCAGACACTAGCAAAAATCAATATAATAGGCATGCCTTTTCATTTAGAATTAAAATACGTCCTTTATATTATGCAGAATAACCTGGCTAGTTGATAAAATAGTTTAATATAGTTATACGGGATACTATGATGAACCTGATGAAAGAAGTAGGATTCCGAGGTGTTGTACAGAACCTGAATTACTTTATGTTAAACCGAATGATGTTTGTGCAAGAACCAATACAGTAGAAAGTGTTAGACTTGACATATTATCTGGAATCTGCTCGTGGACTAAAGTCGGCATTTGAGCGAACTTTCTTTGATGCAACAATTTCTCATTTAATGTTACTTTCAGTTTTCATGCGCAGCTCGGGGAACGAGAAATAAAATAAAGATCTTTATCAAAATCATCGACTGTAACAATTTAACTTTAAGGTAATATAGTAAAATCATTTCGATTAATTTGCAATTTAACTTCATATATGTTTGCACAATGGGTAACTTTATTCACTCACAAAAATATCATTCCTATGTTCGATTCCATACCCCATCTTTTTTAGTTTCTCAAGTACAACAATACACATATTTTCTCATGAATGGCAACATCGCTACCAATAACGCTTTAACCGATTGTTCTTCAATGTTGTTGTCTCAGATAATTCTTGCTGTTTGCCTCTTTTATACCGACATGAAATGGTAGAAACTTTCAGTTTTAGCCAAAACCAGACATTACAATGTTCATTTTGATTTGTATTGCATATAATCTGTCGGCTGTGTTTTCCTCATCTCTGGATGTTTATCTCCTGTTTATACGTTTCCTGATTTTCCACAAATTCTGATATGACGCCATTTCTTGGTTTGGTAATGACTCCTCTTGGTCTCGTCATTTCACTCGAAATAACGTTCATTACTGTGGTTTCAGGTGCAAGTACCTCCATCGTGTTGTATCGCCTGTAATAATGGTTAATTAATTAACGATTAAAGTTTATAATAGATGGTTATTAATTATCAATAAAGCAGGTTTATCATGCTTATCTAAACTAAAATTTGCAACTCTGTCACTTTGATCAGAGTATTACTATATTAGCGTATTTTTGATCAAATACAATGTACCATTGTAATCTGGTAGACTCGTGTAATGTTATTGAGTCTTATGATTTGATGGTTCTTTCAGTCAAATTTCTGATTGTTTCTGAATTGACTCAGTGAAGACAGATTCTAATGGAAATAAAGATTACGATGTTCATCAAGTACTCTTTTTTCTGAAATTCTGTAAATTTGGGTTCTGATATTTTATTAAAGAAGTAAGTCGTCCTTTTATTAAATTCTTCTCTTAACACTGCTCAAGTCCAAAAAGTTTATTTTATAGAGATCTTAAAATAGTAAAACACATAAGACAATCGAAGACTGAATAGCTTTTGAAGAGGAAAATTATAAGTGCAGTGAAGCCGGTCTTAAATTTTAACTAAGATATTTGTTAACAACGTTTGTCATCATACCATTGATCAATTAGACTCGGAGTTGGTCCAAGCCTAATTGAGAGTCAAAGACTAATGAAATTCAATCCAAGATTACAGCAGAGCTGGTAAATTTGATTATTCTAGTTAAGCCACTCCCAGTTGCCTGGCACGATCACGTGACTCATTTTACCAGTTTATCAATTTAGACACCACCTCAACAGAAATAATTACATGCCCTGTTAGCTTATTCGATAATCAACGAAGTTTCTCTTTCATCATTGGGCGGGCTGCATACTGCACAAATGAAAGTGAAAGTGATCATGACTGAAACAGAACAATCACGGAGAGGCGTGAGGTTGGGCGTCGCGTTAGTTCCTTTGTCTGTTAAAAGATCCACCAACTCACATTGATTCTCCATAGTAACTCTGGCAATTGGAAAGTTTGTCTCTCCTTCGTTCTACTTATCTTCTTATCTTATGTTACGAATGTTGAGACATGGCAGTGTTTTACTCCTGTTCGATCAATGTGCTTTCTGCGCAAAACTTTTCATCGCAGTTCAGTAGAATTGCTTCATATTGATATTCTGACTATGTCACGTCATATTTATAATTATTATTATTATGTTCGACCAATGTGCTTTCTGCGCAAAACTTTTCATCGCAGTTCAGTAGAATTGCTTCAGATAGATATTCTGACTATGTCACATCATATTTATACTTATTATCAGATTTTTAAATATTTGTACTTTATACAGTTCGATCATCATATTATACCTCCCAAGTATTCAAATCGTACTATTTGATAGATAAATAAAAATGGACTTCAAGCTGTTTTTACTTCTGGGACTCATGGTCTGTGTAGTTTTCACCCGTGAGTATTGCTATTTAAATTTAACTTGTATTATACTTTCAAATCTGGACCTAACGTTTCTTTTTTCTTGAGATCACCACCTGTTTTATCTCAAGATCAAAATTTTGAGCTGAAAAATTTTTATTTTCCACCCTAAACTTTGGCAAAATCTTGCAACTTTTACCAACCGAAAATGAAATCGTAACTTGTTAAATATACAATATTTTATTAACGTATTGTTGCTTGCTTGCTGCTGATAAAAACCGTGGCCTAAACAACTAATAATTTATTCTTGGGTAATTGCTTTCATTTTATTTTATAATAAAACTCACGTTACTATCTTTCAGAAGATGACGGAGGAGAAACTGAGGGCGAAGAAACTGACGGAGGAGAAGAAGAAGGTGAAAAAGAAGAAGGTGAAACAGAAGAAGAAGAAGAAGAAGAAGAAGAAGAAGAAGGTGAAACAGAAGAAGAAGAAGAAGAAGGTGAAGAAGAAGAAGAAGAAGAGGGTGAAGAAGAAGAAGAAGGTGAAGGAGGTGACGGTGCCCTCGCAATGTCTACTGTTATGCTACCTCTGGCGGCAGCTCTCTACCAACTGGCATAAGGTAAGATTTAACTCCTGACTTGTTCTCCTATTATAACAATACATATTTACGTCAATCTCATCACATAATACTTCAACAAAATGTTGTCTCCAAGTAAAACAATTTTCTCCTCAGAATCTTTTGAAACCCGGATCACCGGAATGCTTCTTCCGAGCTACAGCGTGAATTCGACATAATCTGACCAAGAGCCGCAATTCTCCTCTAAGGAGTACTTCTGGCTTTGAGGTGGACTCAAGAATTAAACATTACGCGGGGAGGAAGACGATGCTTTTTACTGTTTGTGTCCAAGCCAAAGAAAGAAAGAGAAGCTTTTTAGCAAATTGATGTTAACTATTCATTGTCATTTATATTTTAAAGAATAAAAAGAAAATTGTATGATATCGATATCCTTTTTGTATTTCGGTTCAATTTTAGTTTTATTGCAAAACTTTTGTGTTTTGTCAACCTTAAAAGTTAAAGCATATTTTTTGTTCCAAAACCAAGTCGACTCAAAAATCTGAAACCTACTTACTTACTGAAACCTACCAAATTTCATAATTGTAAAATATAGTAAGATCTTACCCCACTCCCCAGGCTATAATGTTCGTAAACATGTGAAAAGCGATTCGGCGGAATGACAGGCTGAGCGCCGCCCAGTAACTCATAGATTTACAAGGAAACTGTCCGAAAAATTTAAAGCATATCCAACCATCAAACATTATGTCACAGCTAAAAGCAGCGTATTTTGCCGCATTTTCATCACTATATCATTTAATATCAACTCCGACATCCACCATATTTTTCGGACAGTTGTAAAAGCCCTATTGGAAGGTCTTCACAAATTTTCAGAATGATCTCATTTAAGGAACCGAAGGTATGACAGAATAATACGACAAAAATCAACGAATTTCGTCAAATTACGCGACTTTTACACCTAATTTTGCTACAAAAGCCGCGCACCATTAAATTTGGCACCTAGGCAAAACTCACTGATTATTCCCAAAAGGTATGACAAATTTGGTACTGTGAAAATTCTCACAGTCTTAAGAAAACAATGGAACAAAAATTTTGAAAATCCGAGCAAGTTTATTTTTATCGTGCACCCCCTATTATAAATATATACTAATATACAGTAAGTAAGATCTAGAACAATTGTAAAAAGTAAATTTTAACTATGATTTAACTCACGCTAAATCATAGTCTGTAGATGCAGCGGAGTTGATCCTAGCTCGTTTAGCCCGGGGCTGGTCGCTCATGACACTTCTAGTGTCCACCTCCAAGTCTACTCTGTCTATTTTCCCCGCCCTGGAGAGTGTGGGATTTTATTTAAAAATATTGGTCGTCAAGGAAAATTCAGTTGTTCCTGCTATTTTGATAGGGATTAGAAAAACGAACGTGAAGTTCATCTATTTTAGGCGAGTTTTAATTCTATAACTTAATAGAAGTTTCGTTGTTAATGTTTGATAAGGACAAGGCCATGAGTGGACGGATAATTGGTTGATCAATTTACTAATTTAGCACATTTTATTCCCCGATCATTATCTGATTACCAAACGTCTATCACAATCATTTTATTCCTTATTTTACGTAATATCGAATGCATAGTGAAGCTGTGGCTCAATGTAATTCTGTTACCTGAGTATTTAAAAGTAGTCATGAAAGCATGAAAACGGTGTACCTCGAGGCGACCCGTTGTGACTCGACTAGTTCCGGCTTTTTATGACCATCCACAATTAAGGGAGTATCACCTCAATAAATGTAATAGATTTAAAGTACTGTAATTATAGATTTATAGTACTGTAATTATAGATTTAAAGTACTGTAATTATAGATGTATAGTACTGTAATTATAGATTTATAGTACTGTAATTATAGATTTATAGTACTGTAATTATAGATTTACAGTACTGTAATTATAAGGTTACCTGAGTATACGTTTCTTGAGAGGGGTGCCCGGAGCTGGAACCAAGTCTAATTCTTGAGGAAGACAGAAGGTCCTGTGTCCCAACCTCCGCTGCTTGTCTATTACCTGTTACATATGACACGTGTTATTTACTTTCGTCACGTGTTATTTACTTTCGTCACGTGTTATTTACTTTCGTCACGTGTTATTTACTTTAGTCACGTGTTATTTACTTTCGTCACGTCGTGTTATTTACTTTAGTCACGTGTTATTTACTTTCGTCACGTCGTGTTATTTACTTTCGTCACGTGTTATTTACTTTCGTCACGTGTTATTTACTTTCTGGACATTTGGATCCATCGCGTTGTGACTCGTGACAGCGATGAATCAGTTTTCAACAAAGTTTCGGTATGGGTCTAAACTAAGGTTCAATGCCTGAAATAACGTTTGACGCTCGCGCTTTGACTTGAGATAAAGCACATTCAGAATGCGTGGAACACAGTAAATAGGTTTGCCATCTTGCCATAGTTTTAACTCCTTCTGTACACTTCAAGAATAAATCTACAAGTAACAGAGTTGAGCGGAAGTACATAATATGTGAGTATATATTATATATAAAGTATATTCTAGTATATATACTCACATATTTGATCTCCATATCCAAGTTATTATATACTCACATATTTGATCTCCATATCCAAGTTATTAAGTACTCACATATTTGATCTCCATATCCAAGTTATTATATACTCACATATTTGATCTCCATATCCAAGTTATTATATAAGTACATACTCACATATTTGATCTCCATATCCAAGTTATTATATACTCACATATTTGATCTCCATATCCAGGTTCCTCTCGCTAACTTTCTTCTGTGCTTCAAACTGCTTCAGTTTGTTTTCTAACGATATCTCCTCCCCTGCATTTCTTCTATTCGCGTGATCCTGAAATCATATGGTTTATGGTTATTTAGCGACAAACAGGTGCGTTTCTCCAAGCTGTGAAAAATACAAATGGCCTGCCAAACTCATTAGCGATTGTTGGTCTGGAAGTCCTTCAAAATGGAGTCTCAATAATATTATATAATTGATGCCTGAAAGTTAATTATATGTTATGGTTACATGAGTACATTATCTACTAGAATAGAATATGTATTCCAATCGTAAAACATAATTATGATTAACTTTCACTAGAATGATTAACTTCCATTTCTAGCGTGCTTGGTTTATACATGTCTAGCCGAAGTTGGCGACACAATCGAGCTCTCTAGTGACCTCACCACAATGTCACGTGCCAATAAAGTGGTGGCTATAAGTACTAAGAAGCTCCACAATGACATGGTGTGTGTTTCAGTTGTGGAGATAGTGTTAGTTAAACTTATTTATCTTAGTCATCTGAGTTTCAGTTACAAGTTCTGGTATTAAAGGTTTGTTGTAATTTATTTTTAATTATCAGCCATATCAGTAGCCACTAATTGCCGCAGTTTTAAATTTTAGGATAAATTATTGGAATCACTTTGCCGAGATTAAGTCCTACTGTTTTTTGTGGCAAACTGATCATCATATCCCCCTTCCATCCCTCACATCTCCTCCTGGCCTCCTTCCTCCACACGTTACTAAAATGCATAAAATATGTAATATTTATATGTAAAGAAAGTAACCTGTCGTTTAGAATTGTACCATTTTTCCATATCGTCTGTTATCTCAAGAGAACGGCATTTGTACGATATATTGCTGGTCGGGGATTGCAATTCAACTATAAAATATAAATACAGAATATATTGCAAAACATTTAAAGATGACTAGAAATAACCTCGGAAATAGAAGAATTCCTGTAGTAACCTAGAAGAGTCATTACGAATACAACCTTATGTTCATGCCCCTATAAATATAATTGAGCAGTGCCAAATTGAATACTAGGAATGATCTTAATTGGCACCATTCCAATGTATACACTAACTGCAGCAATGACTCCAGTAAATCACACTTCTGAAGTTCTGATGGATTTCACTCTCCAACGGCCACTAACTTACGATATAACGGCGTCACTAAGACTGACAAGTAATAACGGAATCGATTGGTTTGGCTATGACGTCTTAAAAGTCGGGATGACCCTTTTTGCAAGTCACAGGTTTGAGGTTGCATCGGTAACACGAACAACAGGTAACGGGTGGTCTTCTCTGCCTTGAACCCAAATTAGGCGTCCTACAGGCACAATATAATTATAAAAACATTATGCAAGCAAAGGTAGACGAGCTATATCCGCTGGATCGTTTGTTTTGAATATCATTAAAATAATGCACAGCATTAATTTAAAAACAGAATGAATATTTGTACGTGCAGCTTTATAAAATATCCAGCATGTAATTCACTCAACTAATGATATACGATTCATTCGGCAAAAAACATTTCCTGATTAAATATAAAAAACACACAAATATATATTATATATTTACGTTTATTAAACCTGATCTGCTGTAACATTTAGGAAGCATAATGTTGAGGTTAAATATAAATTATTGTTAAACCAATAAGTCATTTAAGTAATGCTCGCCACTTGGTTTCTGTCTATAACTTTGATAAGTTCATCAGCATGTCTTAAGCTTAAATGTGTAGAAGTAAGGTTATATTAAATCAATGCACACAAATATATTTTGTTAGAAATGAATAATATTGTAAGGTAGGATATATCGTGATCATGTAACGTTAGAGTACTTATAGTTATATAGCAAAAACTTAGTTTTCTACAATTCAACCTATATTCTACAACACAGAACTGTATATTGCTGTTATTTTAATATGGCCATTCAAATGGGCAAAACATATAATAAGAAACGGCGCCATTATATATCAGAGCTCTCATGTGTCAACTCAAAACGACAACACTATAATAGCAAAGGCATATCGTTAAATGAGTAACAATGTGAAACACAGCAAGCACTGTAAAAAGAAAGGAACAACTTAATTATTTAGTGCACATCGAATCCACCTCAGCCCCGCAATTTAACTGAACAATAAAGTATCCGCCAAGAAAGAAGAGAGCCCCGCAATTAAACTGAACAATAAAGCTAAGTATCCGCCAAGAAAGAAGTTAAACTCCTCCTCCTTTTGTAAGTATTGTCCGGACTAAAAACTGATAACCAGCTATAGTTATACAGTATACACGTGTAAGTTGTGGCAAATATGAGTGACGAATAACGTGGATTCAGCTCACTTAGCGTCTTGTAATTACTGTTAAAAGTGATATCTTAACAGTTAACACGTTACGTCATCTTCACACCACGTGACGTCATGACAACATAACGTGACGTCATCACAACATAACGTGACGTCATCAGCTCACTTAGCGTCTTGTAACTACTGTTAAAAGTGTAGGCTGAGTTATGTGGACTGTCCGTCTGTAATTATTGTTAGTGTCCAGGAACTGACGTGACTTAACACTGTTCTTTTGTTTATCTGATCCGTTTAATTATTATTTACTCATTATTTTCCTATTAATATCTTTATGACCTATCAATAACTTAATAACCACGGATTTTATGTCATGTAACGACTTTAATATTGCAATGTCAATGCTTCGATGTGTGGGAATATGCGTTGACTTGACAATGTGCTACCAGTCAGTCCATCAATCAATATTTTAAAGATACCACTCCTTTGGAGCCTGCATTTTATGTCATACCAGGAATTAAAGCATAATGATATCAAGGATAATCAAAAATATCAAGGACGGATGCAATTGATATTTGATATAAAAAATTTAAGCATAAATACAAAGAGGCTGGCTTAATTAATATAACCTTGTCGATAAAAAAAGAGCCTGCATCATACATCAGGATGCTGGATTATGGTAACTATAGGACGGGCTTGTTTGATCTATAGATATCAGGGCATAACTAGTGCAACGAACCTGTCTTCCCTTACCTTATCCCTTATCAGTATTGTCGCCTATGCTTTTAAATAAGGGAATATATAACTAAAAGAAGGAAATGAATACTAAAATTTTGATAAAACGTATCAAAATAAAGAAAGTTTAACCCATTAGGGACGACGAGTTTTAAAGTTTGCCGATTTTGATGCCGTTTAACACACTAGGTCACTTTACAGCAAAAATGAGATATCCAAAAAAGCTAATCTGTATCTCGTTTACTTTAAAAGATACAGCTATGGTCGCATACGACCCACTCGTCCGGGTCGCAAACGACCCATCACGGTTTTTCGGCTATTACTTCTGAAACAGAGACGTTAGGATAAAATAAAAACTGTAGCATAAGTTAAAAACATATGGTCAATACTGTCTGACTCTAACTTTTCAAAAATAGAGAATTTGGGTCATTAACGACCCACTCGGCTCACTTGCTTATTACTACATTTGTCCATGTAACTTCTTGAATTCAGCCTAAAACATGACATCATAAGTGCAAACTCGCCTCTCAGCAAGTGATTATCATCATAAACTGCGAAAAATCGGTTAGATGGGTCATTAGCGACCCACCAGGACCACAAAATTGATTAATTAAATATAATGTTGTCAAACTATTACAAATATTAGTATAAAAACATGTTATATCTTGGTCATTACTCCTGTACGTTGATTTAACTTTTAAAATCGATCAACTGGGTCAATAACGACCCACTCGGAAGTTGAACCACGTCATTAATTATCAGTATCATGCTGTTCCACCATCAAGAAAGACACTTGTAGGTCTTAATTCCACGCAAACCACGGGTGGATGACCACTAGCCCTCCTGAGATCTGGAGTCTCAAGGTGATCTGTGCAGATCACGTCACCCAATCACTGACGAATAATGGACAGAATTGGATTGATAGGTAGGTGAGTTTATCAGCTGTTAGTACACGACCGTAATGTCGTGAGACAACAAACAACATGCCTATCTTTTCCCGATTCCTAAAAAGTCCAAGAAGAACTATACAACTGCTGGATTCAGATTTCAGATGGCTGCATCTACTCATTTCGCAGCTGCCTTTCTTTACTTCTTAGGGGCCGTTCACATTGACATAATATTACGTAATCACTTATTGGACAATTTTTAGCCCCGCCCCCGCCCCTCACCACATAGCTATTATGTCAAAATTACACTAGCGTAATCATTTGGAAACCCCCCTCCCTCTCGGCCGATTACGTAATACTTGGTTTCGTTTTGAAAGCTGCCTCGTTGTTGCGGGGTTGTTACCCACAACGAAGTAGTTGTCTGAGAGATTGCAGGTTGCAGCACCGCCAGCTAGATGGGGGGGGGGGGGGGGGCTTTTTCCTTGTCCTTCTTCACAGAGCTGTAGATTTAGCTATCTGAATGCAGCAGTTGTTTAGTTATTCTTGTACTTTCTAGGAATGTCAAACAGATTGGCATGTTGGATTAGAATATGCAATTTGACCGCTCTTCTTTCAGTATTTACCCAAGGATACAGGATATCTCGTAAACTTCGTTCAGGGGATTTTTCTTGAGTGACATGATCTGATCACCGTGGGACCCTGGGTCTCAAGCGGTGAGTTGTAGCAGGTCGTTTACCAAGATTCGAAATTGACGAAAAAGGTAACAGAATATAATAAGCAACAACAACAGCATGGCTATTACCTAGCAAGTTAGGAACGAGGGCCGATCTCCTTTTCTTTTGCGACACGGCCACGGTCCTTTCGGTACAGATTTCCACGCACCATAGTCAGGACGCAACTCCAGGCATATGCAGTCGTGTTATTCTCGCAGCTCTTTGATGAGTGATGACTGCCCTTCAGTTGGCCCTGGATCTCAGAAGGACTAGTTGTCAGCCACCGTGGTTTGTGTGGAATAAAGACCTACGAGTGTCTTTCTTGATGGTGGAACAGCATGATACTGATAATTAATGAAGTGGTTCAACTTCCGAGTGGGTCGTTATTGACCCAGTTGATCGATTTAAGAAGTTAAATCAACGTACAGGAGTAATGACCAAGATATAATATGTTTTTATACTAATATTTGTAAAAGTTTGACAAAATTATATTTAATTAATCAATTTTGTGGTCCTAGTGGGTCGCTAATGACCCATTTAACCGATTTTTCGCAGTTTATGATGATAATCACTTGCTGAGAGGCGATTTTGCACTTATGATTTCATGTTTTAGGCTGAATTCAAGAAGTTACATGGACAAATGTAGTAATAAGCAAGTGAGCCGAGTGGGTCGTTAATGACCCAAATTCTCTATTTTTGAAAAGTTAGAGTCACACAGTATTGACCATACGTTTTTAACTTATGCTACAGTTTTTATTTTATCCTAACGTCTTTGTTTCAGAAGTAATAGCCGAAAAACCGTGATGGGTCGTTTGCGACCCGGACGAGTGGGTCGTATGCGACCGCAGTTAGTAAACAGCGTCTAGCTCTGTTTGTGAACATTTGATTATCACGGGCTTTCATTTGTGCCAAGGAAATCGTTGCCCGCAACTATTTTGTTTTCAAAAAAATAAGCCTACATAAAGTTGTAATGTCCCAATCAAGGCAAGAAGTTAAGTGAAATATTTTCCAATTATGACGACTAATTAGTCTAATTATTTAATTGTTAGTGATTAATTGGGTCTCGACTGGAAAGTCAATAATGTAGCCCAATAAATTTTGAGCATATGTGCGAAAGATTCGTGGCGTTTAGTATTTTGGTTTGTCCTCTATAGCCTCTAGAAAAGGTGGGTCGTAAACGACCCTATCGTCCCTAATGGGTTAAACAAATATAAACGGACAGCA